TGCCCTACCTGTCCAAGGAGGCCATCCCGGAGCAGGCGACTGGAGTGCTGGGGGCCCTGGGGGCGCTGGGGGGCGGAGAGCGTGGGAATGTATGCGATCTCCTCAGGGCATCCTGATATGCAGTGACCCGCAAATGATCTGGATTCCAGTCCTGGCTGATCCACAGACTCAATTCTCCAATTCTGTCCGTGGAAAGTGTCCTAAGAGTCACATCAGGAACCTCTCCCCCTGTCTCTCCTTGGGACAGAGAACGCTAGGGTCACCTCAGACGCAGCAGTCCTCCTTCATTCCTTGAACCAGCACCACAGCCCAATCGCCCTTCTCTCCTCCTTTGGCTAGAAGACACCACGGGAAAGAACCCTGATGAATGATGCATTCTCTCCCTGGTCCCATGACATGCACCTCTGGTCAGCAAATCACGAATCACTTCAGAAGAGAAAGGTCTTGCTTTCTGGGATGCCTTCACCTTAGCAGCCAAGAGCCAAGAGTCAAGGCAGCAGCACCACCTCCAGGGCACCAGCAGGCCCAGCATCCTTAGGGCTTTCAGTTAGCACTTTGAGTTGGAGAGCATAGGACAACAGGCCAAGAGGCAGTTGCTAGACAGCAGAATGAGGGAGTTCTCTGTCCACCAATTAAAAAGGTAAAAGGTGTGCTAGTATTAGTTTGCTAGGGCATAACATAACAAAATACCACAAACTAGGTGGCGTTAACAACATAAATTTATTTTCTCATAATTCTGGAGGCTAGAAGTCCCCTACCAAGGTGTTGGCAGGGTTGGTTCCTTCTGAGGCCTCCCTCCTTCACTTGTAGATGGCTGTCTTCTCCGAGTCTTCACGGTCTTCCTTCTGTACATGTCTGTGTCTAAATTTCTTCATCTTATAAGGAAACCAGTCTTATTGGGTTAGGGCTCACCCTAATGACCCAATTTTAACTTAATTAGTTCTTCAAAGACCCTGTCTTCAAATACAGTCACATTCTGAGGTACTAGAGTTAGGATTTCAACATATGAATTATTTAGGAGATGCAGTTCAGCCTATAACATGTGTAGTGAGATATTCATTTGGGTAGCTAAGTTGTATAAGTAATGATTTAAAATATTAGGGTCACACCCCAGCCAGGCACTGTTTTATGAGCTTCACGTGTCATTTAATTTTCACAATCACTTGTAAGGTACATGTTGTTAAGAAATGTGTTTGTACAGATAAGGAAACTGAAGCTCAGGCAAACTAAATAAGTCACACTCTGCATTATATACTGCTGCGGTGAAGCATGGAAAAATTGGAGTTCTAAATCCTGCATTTAAGTCCTGGCTGAGCTGCGCTCGGTGGCGCAGCCTGTAATCCCGTGCCTTGGGAGGCTGAGGTGAGTGGATCGCCTGAGCCCATGGATTCGAGACCTGCCTGGGCAACTTGGCGAGACCTCATCTCTAAAATAAATCAAAAAAATCATCTGGGCGTGGTAGTGCGTGCCTGTAGTTCCAGCTACTTGGAAGGCTGAGGCGGAAGGATCGCCGGAGCCCAGCAGGTCGAGGCTGCGGTGACCAGGAGCGGTCAATTGCACTCCAGTCTGGGCGACAGAGTGAGACTCCACTCAAAAAAAAAAAAAAAAAAAGGTCCTGGCTGATTCCATCCCTGTTTGGCTGTGGAACTGGGACTTTTAATTCAATTGTGCCTAGATTCTAGTCTGCTGATGCTATACTCCATATTCTTTTCACAGCACCATGCTATTAGGTTGGTGCAAAGTAATTGTGGTTTTGGACCGTGAATTTTAAATTATTAAAACTAGGTTCAAACACATCTTTATTAATCAAAATAGGAACCATTACAATCAACACATTTTTGCCAATGAAAAATAAGTTTGTGTATTCCTGGAGCATAAAAATCATGCTTTGGGATTCGATGAACTTTTGGAAAGCATTTTTGCATCCTGCTGGTAAGGAAGCATCCCTGCAAAAAGTTGTCAAGATGCTTGAAGAAATGGTAGTCAGTTGTTGAGAGGTCAGGTGAATATGGCGGATGAGTCAAAACTTCGTAGCCCAATTCGTTCAACTCTTGAAGTTCTGGTTATGCAATGTACAGTCAGATATTGTCCGGCATTGTCATGGAGAAGACATGTTTCTGTTGACCAATGCTGGCTGCAGGCTTTACTGTTTTCGATGCATACTATCAATTTGCTGAGGATACTTCTCAGTTGTAATGGTTTCGCTGGGATTCAGAAAGCTGTGGTGGATCAGACTGGCAGCAGATCACCAGTGACCGTGACTTTTTTTTATTGCAAGTTTGGCTTTGGGAAGTGCTTTGGAGTTTCTTCTCAGTCCATCCACTGAGCTGGTTGCTGCTTGTCAAACAATCCACTTTTCCTCGCATGTCACAATCCGATAAAGAAATGGTTTATTGTTATGTAGAATAAGAAAAGACAATACTTCCAAATGACAATTTTTTTAATTTTCGGTCAGTTCATAAGGCACTTAGTTATTGAGCTTTTTCACCTTTCCAATTTACTTCAAATGCCAAATGACCATATCGACATTGAGTTCTTGGACAACTTCTCAGGTAGTTGTAAGAGGTTGTAAGAGGATCAGTTTTAAGAGGATCAACTGATGATTGCTCTCAGTTGGTCGTTGTCAACTTCTGATTGCCGACTACTACACTCCTCATCTTCAAAGCCCTCATCTCATTTGCAAAACCTCTTAAACCACCACTGTACTATATATTCATTAGCAGTTCTTGGGCCATATTAATTGTTTATATTGTGTGTTGTCTCTGCTGCTTTACCACCCATTTTGAACTCAAATAAGAAAATTGCTTGAATTTGCTTCTTGTCTAACATCATTTCCATAGTCTACAATAAATATAAAATAAGCAGCAAGTAATAAGCCATTAGAAAAAATAAATAAATAAAAGTGAGAAATATGCATTAAAATGGTGTATAACATAACCACATTTATTTAAGAATGCTTTCCAATATCAAATGGCAAATACCAACAATGCAAAAACCAAAATTACTTTTGCACGAAACTAATACTTCTCTGGGGAACCAGATGTTAACTGGAAACAATAATAGGGGACAGAAAGCTCAAAGAGAAGAAAATAATCACTTGATGAACAGACGGGAGTATAGCTAAGAGAAAAAGAAAGATCAAATAGAGATCAGATTTTCTACCTCCGACTAGGCTCCTCCCACAGTTCAAACAACCTCGTAGTGCAAATAGCCTGGTTGTGGCTGACTTTCCCAACCCTACTTCCTAACAAAATTTCTCCAAATTCTATTTGCCTGAAAATAGTGTTATTACTAGCTGCAGAAACTGGAGTATGAAATGTATTTACCTCATAGCTCTAGTTAGGACTTAACTATCTCACTCCCTCAAAAGTCTCTCAGTCCTGCCTTTCTTGATCAGTCTGATCATCTACTTTCTCACTTCCAAACTCACTCCCACTCAAGCGTTCATCGCCCTCTTTCAAAAAGCCCTTTCTACTGAGCCCTCCCAAACCAAAGTTCTGTAGTCAATAAACTCCCCTAAACCTTGGCCTGTTCAGCAAGCCCTCCCTCTACTTCCTGCTACAGCTAAACAGAAGTCATGCCTCAGAATGCCACTTCCCCTTCAGTTCTGTCTGGTGGTGGTTGTGCATTCTCCCATACTCCACATGCCTTCAGGACAGGGTAGGTATGGGTAGAGAACTGGCAATATATTTGCCTCCATTGTACCAAACCTTGAATCCTTATTTTCATATTAAAACCATTTGCCAATGGACCAAACCACCACAGGGCCTTCCTTGTTGGTGTAATTACCTCAGCTCCTGGTCTTATGTTTCATTCCACATCTGGCTCCTACAATACTGAAAATCTTTTAGGGCAGGTTTCATGTCTTATTCAGGTGTTCAGGTTTGTATCTCTGTTGCCTACTAACCTATCAGTCAGATGCCTATTTGGAGAAATTTATGGAATGAATGAGGGAGTGAGCAAGTGAATATGTAAATGGTGAAAGCTGGAAATGGTCCACTGGAGGGGCTTAGATGAAAAAACTCTTGGTGAAGTGCCAGCTTCTCCAGAGCATACACTCTCACATTAAATTGTTCTGGGTTCAAATCCCAGCTCCTCAAGGCACAAGCTCAAAGTACCTTGGCCATGTTTCTTCACCTACTGTTTAAGGATATCTTGAGAAGGAAGTCAAATCATACATGTGCACATTCCTGTGTGTCCGGAATAGAATAAGTGCATGCCCAATAGTTACTAGCTATCCTTTTTTCCCTTCCCACAGCTCCCCTGGCTAAAAGCCACAATGTGAAGTCTCTCTGCTCTCTTGCTGTCCCTTGAGAGATAGTGAGCATAAGACCTCAGCTCAGTCCAAGAGAGGAGAACAGAGCTATCAAGAACTGACCATGTTTACAAATCCTGTGCCTGAGACACCTGAAGACAGGAACTTAGCTCACCCCAATGGGGGTGAGAGCCAGGCATAAAGAACATGCTTGATCAAGGTATATAAATGAATCTGAACTTCTTGAATATGTCAATGCTCCCCAGAGATCAGGCTCACCAGGGGGGGACTCAGTAGCGGATGCTGTGCCAGAAGTCAGGGCTCCCGCCACCAGTGCTACTTATGGCACTCTGACCCTTGTCTGGGGCACTGGTCTGTGTCAGTGCTTTGACGCCCAGCCTTTCCTCATACCAGCTTTCCTCAAAGTCTGTATCTTAGAAGATGAAGAGGAGTTTCTTTATGGTTGATCAATTGGGCTGAGGGTGTTCATACTTCTTTAGCTGAGGAACCCCTTATTCAAACAAAAATATTTTTTTTCTTTTTTTGAGTAGGAGTCTCACTCTGTTGCCCAGGCTGGAGTGCAGTGGCACACTCACAGCCACCACAGCCAGAACCTGCTGGACTCAGGTGATCCTTCCAAGTAGCTTTCCAAGTAGCTGGAACCACAGGCACACACCACCATGCCCAGTTAATTTTTAAAAATTTTATTGTAGAGATGAAGTCTTGCCAAATCACCCAGGCTGGTCTCGAATCCCTAGACTCAGGTAATCCTCTCACCTCTGCCTCCCAAAGTGCTGGGATTACAGGAATGAGTCACTATGCTCATCAAACAAAAATCTTAAGTGGAAGCTAAAGTAGAGCCACACTCGCTGAGGGGGGCAGAGACTCACACAGGACACTACTAATCTAGACCACCACCTGACATCTGAATGGAATTTCTGCCCAACAACTACTCCGCTGGCAGTATTGCTCTTTGGGTTTTTTAAACATTGTTTTAGAGGGTTTCACTTGATAGCCCAGGCTGGAGTGTAATGGTGTGATCATATTTCACTGCAGCCTCAAATTCCTGGGCTCAAGTGATCCTCCTGCCTCAACCTCC